TATATATATATATATATATATATATAAATGAATTACCACACCTTTAATCAAGAATAGTCACGACGAACTGAATTTGATGACTAGCCACTAGTATTGAAATTTCATGTCCGAAATTTAAGATCACTTAAAATCGGAAGATTTGAGATTGGAGAAAATTTAAGAAACAATAGTGGTCACATAAGAATCAGAAATAACAGAACGAAACAAATTGGAAGAAAATGGTATCAATAAGAACGGTACAAAATCTATGAAAATCTACGATAAATTGAAAAATTCTCGGCCTGATACAGAAATAACGCCACAATTATCAAACTGTTATAATTTTAGACAAGTTTGATCCTTCACAGGGCTGTTAAAATTTCAAATAGATATGCGTTCATTAATTTCTTTGTTTCGGTCCAGATCTAATGAAATACGCTTGTAAAACCAATGGAATTTTGCAACTGCAATTGATGAAATGTAAGAGTGCATTGTCATGATGGAATCAAAAGCTAATTATTTTATGATCGAAACAAAGAAATTAATGAACGTATCAATCTGAAATTTTAATAGTAGCCCTGTGAAAGCTCAAACTTGTTTAAAAGTATAGCAATTTGATATTTGTGGTATTATTTCTGTGTCAGGCTAAGAATTTTTCGAACTACTCTTGTATTTTTTCCGTTTTTGTTCTGTTATTTCCATATGACCACATTCTAAGTGATCTGTGAAATAGAGCGTGGATTAAAAGTATTAAGAGGTGCGCATAATAAAAAGAATAGGGAACAGAAAATAAGAATTTTAACTTATCAAAAATTATGTACTGTGGAACAGTTTCTGATAGATTAAAATCTCTTAGTCAAGTCTAAGTCTCTTGTTTTGCAAAATCATGCAATTTAATGCTGAGCGCGAGTTTTTCACTATGTATGTGCTAAAAACATAATGCATAATCATACATATATATTTAATAACATGTAAACAGATTTGAAATCGATTTTCGAAATCGAGAATCGAAATTGATTTTGCGTCAGCAGATTCAGAGCAAATGGAGAGCAATTGTTATTTTGTTGTCAATAAAATGACTCCATTTATGAAAAATTTTTGATTTTTCATTCATTTTCGATAACGTAGAAAAAATATGATGGTAACAGGAAAAAAATTTATGAATTTCAAGAGCAAATATTGAAGATTAACGTAATAATCATATTGATAGCAAAATTATGGCAAGCAATGAGCTCGAATTTCATGTACATTATTATATCGATAATATAACGGCAAACTGACGTATGATATCTAACATTTTACATATATTGCAAAATATTTGCTGAATATTGTTGAAGTTTCTTGTACCTTGTTGTACAATTTCTTAATATCATAATATTGTAAATTTATAAGACTGATGGTATTGTTTCCTGCATGTAAAATTCAATCAAGCTCTCTATATACATAGTTGAAGACATCAGGGATGTCTACGATGATCACGTTTTCTTAAAGAAAATAAAGGACAAATCTGAAAATTTTAGGACTTTGTTCCTACATGTTTTTAAACCAATGTGATTGTCAAGAATTTGCGCATTATAAAATTTTATTGTATAGTATAATCAAATTGAGATAATGCGCAATTTTCTGATAATTCGAATTGATTCGACTGTGTTGGAACAAACCCTTGATATGAAACAATAAAAGATTCGAAATAATAAAAAATAAAAATAACTCTTCGAATAAATTCGAATAAAAAAAGTTCGAATAAATTTAATTTAAAAAATTAAGAAATAATTAACAAAAACAAATTGTACACACACACACACACACACACACACACACACACACACACACCATTTATAACAAAATGTATAACATTTTTATTATATCATATTTAGGTATATATTATATATTTTTTAACAAAAATTAAAGGAGGCTTTTAATGATACTTTTTTGATGAATGTATTTTTTTTAAATTACATCATATTTAAAAAAAAATCATAAAATTTTAAACATTTAAATTTGTTTCAAAATTGTTTTGTGTAAATGCAAGCTTCAAGTGTTTCAACTTTAAGTTGGATTTTCTCACTTAGAAAATAAATTCCTGTAATGTCAAAATAAAGGACAATAAAGGACAATATTGGAAAATGAAGAATTGAATTTTGAAAGAAACAAATAAATCTAAAAGAGAAAGCTACCTAAAATAAAAGTCCTTTACAATAAAGGATGTATAATAGGGATGTCATAATTGTTTGTAAAAATTAATAATTAGAAGATAAAAAAACACGAGCAACGTTTATTGGAGCTTTAAAAATAAACTAGTTTATTACAATAATACATTAAAAATTATATAATAATACATTAAAAACCAGTTTTTATCTATAAATAAATTGAAAACGTTTCGACTGTACTAAGTTTTCTTCAATCCATATACGAAAATAATTCAAAAAAGGAAAGAAAGATACATCAAAAACATGAAGTCATATCACAGATTGAACACAATAATTTTAATATTACAGATGAAATTATATAAAATTATATAAATTGATAAATCTTTAATATCATCTTTTTGTTAAGTGAGTTTAATTATTTCGTTGGATGGCCAGAAAAAGCAGAGTCCAAAGTTCTATTATTAAAGTCATCTTCAGAAAATTGAAATTGCGAAAATTCAAATAAAAAATTTGAATCTGTGTCAAAAACAACCAATGCATATTGTAAAATACAAATAAATTATAAATACAATAAATTATATGAAATTACTAACTTACAAATATAAAGATCCTGGATAATAAATATGTGCTCATGTATTAAAGACTTATGTAATATCTAATGCAGACAAATGAAGCGAAATAAAATACATTATAATATAATATTTTTATTGTAGAAGTCAAGATCGAAATTTTATTTTGAAACTGATTTCAATTTTTTTGATGGACTTGGATTTTCGCAATTTCAATTTTCTGAAGATGACTTTAATAATAGAATTTTATCTTTGGACTCTGCTTTTACTCGCCATCCAACGACAAAATAGTTAAACTCACTTGACAATAAGATGATGTTAAAGATTTGTCAATTTTATATAATTTTATCTGTAATGTTAAATTTATTGTGTTTAACCTGTGATATGACTTCCTTTTTTTTGATATATTGTATTTTTCTTTTCAATTTTAATTATTTTCGTATATCGGACTGAAGAAAACTTAGTACAGTTTCCGATTTATTTATAGATAAAACCTATTTAATATATATCGTAAATTAGATTTTTTTAAAATTGAATAAACGTTGCTCGTATTTTTTGATCTTTCTAATTAATTTTTGCTTAGCAATCTCGAGCTAAATATTTTACATATTTTAATTTATTTTTTATATATGCAGATTCTCATATATATTTAGCATGAGACATGATTATACCCATATAGAATTAATAAGTAGTTAATATAAGTACATTTATTTATTTTATATATTTGAGAAGAAAAGGGATGCAAAAGATATACTATATAATATTCAATTGTTTTTGACATGTTACATTTTTTGATGAAATTTATATGACTAGGCACGTGTTGTTGGCAACTTGCTATCATGTTGCTTTTTATGCACAGCGATAAATCGTTGACAGAAATACATTGACATTAAATATATGACAAGTTGGCAGCAATACATGTTGAATTCACGTGATATTATACCATAGGCAAATGACTCACATTTTGTTCTAATGTCTTTTGTTTTCATCCAGGGACGCTATTCTGTAACTGTTTTACACGCCTACCGATAGTTGTCGGTGTTATTGCGGAGCTTTTTCACCATATAAACAATCTGTGCAACGACACCTACAACTGTCGATAGGCGTGTAAAGACAGTTACAGAATAGTGCCCCAAATAGTCAAATGCAGCGAATTTGCTGATATTTTTGAAAATCATTGAAGCAACTAATTACGATAAATTCGGAATAAATTGACACATCATTACATTTTTCATGAATATAGAATTCTAAAGACGGCAATTTAAAGGTAATTTGTTATCATTAGTATGCTATCCGCAGCTAACAGCAGATTTACAGCATCATGACAGTAAAATGTGCCAAATAATGAATGTTATATATGCTGTATGTATAATGAAATGATAGCAGCCATCAAGCTGCTATCAGCTTTACCATTGTCAAATTTTGAATTCAAATGAGGACAACATTTCACACATAATGAAGCAGCCTTGTTCCTAATTTGTTGTCTGTTGTTACGATTAATAACAACATAATACCATCTTGAATTCATTTGACAAGAATTTAAGACGCCATAATATTGCTGTTATGATGGAAAAAATTAGAATTGGTATAGGACTTCTTTTTTGAAATTTCATTAACTAATGGCATACATAAGCAGTCATGTTGCTACATTTGTAACGTGTTCTATTTTGATGTCAGCAAATCACGTTTAGTTCTGCCCAAATATTAATCGAAGCCATCATAATTCATTGCTAACGAAATGTTATCACGAAAATCACTCATTCGCGAGCATTATGCATCTCCGCTGACAGATGATCACAGTGGAAATGCATTAACTTGTAAGTAAGAATCAGCTGGGAAAGAATATAAAGAGTGCAGCATTTCGCCTGTAAAGTAAATCGCCAAAGTTGAGTTTTAATATAATATGAAAACATCCCCCCCTCTGTCACGAATTCTACAATAATTGATTGACAGCAATAGATGTCGACAAACTAGGGATAGGATACTTTCTCATTGTATGTGAAATGTTTCTCTCATGTAAATTCTAACTTTGATAAAAACTTGGCAAAATTGATAGCATTTTGATAGTCTAGCACATGTAGCGTTCATTATTTGGCACATTATTTGCCATCATATTGCTGTTAACGTGCTGCAGATAGCATATTGATGATAATGAATTACCTTTAAATTGCCGTTTTTAGAATTAGAATTCTATTGACTTCAATGTGACAGACATAATGCGTTTCACCTTTATCGAAATTAGTTGCTCCAATAATTTTCGGCAACATGTCAGCAAATTCACTGCATTTGAATATCATGTATGTGTGTACGTATATCATTACTTATACCTTATTATAAATTTTCGTTATACGATTCAAGAATGACACAATATCGAAAATGAGACAATAATCAAGGATAATTTCGAATCACAAATCAATACTTGCAGCACTAATATTTTTATCTCACGCTTTATTTCGCGGATTTCGCTTAGTCATGAAAAAAAAACAGTTATGAATAACTGAATTTGTTGGAAAAGTGATAATTTGCATCAAGCATATGTGATTGCAAGGCCGTACGTCTGTAGTTGTAAGACCTTGCAACAACGATATAAAATCGTTACAGATAAGTTTAGAATAAACTTTAAAAAATTATTATATATAAATATTTCATTAATTATTTATATATTTGCACTAATAATAATTTCAATAATATATATTTCAATAATAATTTCAATTGAATAATTCAAATGTTTGATATTGTGTTCAAAGCAATACGTTCAGTTCCGTTAAGTTCCTGTTAACAATTATCTTTCTCTTGATTGATTTCAAATATAATTATTTCAATCATATTGATTTAATATTTCTTTCAAATAAGTAAATTTCTCTTGTAAGTTTTAATCGGATTTGATGATTAGCCATTAATATTGAAATTTTAGATTCGAGATATGAAATCTGAAGATTTGAGATTAGAGACTAGACTAATGCGTTATCTAGAATACATGGAATAAGAAGTAAAAAAATAAGAAATTGATCAATCACAGTCGAATATGAGAAGATCATCGATTGATTGATCAATTATTCTTACTTCTTACTTCGTGTACTGTAGATGACATATTAAATTTAAGAAATAACTATGAATTCAGACCCTAGTATGATAACAGGACAATGACTTTCTTTTTCATGTACGACTTTGTCTATTAACACTGTTATATCGGATTTATTAGAACATAGTACTTACAGGAGTTACAAAAGTGAGCAAACATCATGAATTTTTGTTTTGCATTTTGTTCCTGAGATGTATTTTTATACTATCTCTATTATATTATAAATTCGCCAATGTGTAGTAGAGATGAATCACTTTCAACTTTCAGCAATGGTCAAATTGCTCACAACCAATTGGAATATTGGATGACCGCGTTGCAAATCTACTATGACGCACTAGAGATTTATCATTTTTATTAGTTGACTACTTGTGTATAATTTTGGAATGAGAATTTTTTGCCATTGAAAGTAACTTACTATCAAATTTAATTGCGTGACTCGCTAACATAGGGTACATTTCGTTTTAATGTGCATGGATGCATCATTTATCCTTATTGTTCATCGAATGTTAAACAAGGATAAATGATATATTATGCACATCATGCGTGAACCCATAGTTAACATATTCCTCAGAAATATAATATAATCCATAAGATAGTCAGTGTTAAAATAATAAATAATTCTTCACAAAAAAAAATATTATTTTTTTTTGTGAAGAATTATTTATTATTTTAACACTGACAGGAATAACTTGATGATAACATTATATATGTGAATAAATAAATTAAGACAAAGGGCTAATGGGAATTGGCGCTGTAGTAATTGCGCTATTATTATATAAATTCAATATTACAAACATAAACTTTAGATATGATGCTGATTTTAGATAAGTGTGGAGGTCAATTTAGAGTAACTGAAAGATTATGGTGAGAACGATACCCGAATCGCACTCCTCATTCACGCCATTATTTTTCTCGCTTAGCTAAGCAAATTGCTAATAATGATATTACTCTACCTGATTACAATAAAGATAAACAAATTCAACGCCTAATTTTTCATTTCACGTAAAAATAAAAATAAGTGGAATGACCTCCAATGGCCTTGAACTTGACAAATATTATTTAAGTAATCCTGAACAACATTAAAGAGATTTTAGTCATCGTTTAGGCACTTTGGGCAATGCCGGAAGTACTATAACCTTCAAGCCTTATAACTCAAAAAGTACTTAATGAAAATAAACTTAATTATAGTATTTTGGATAGCTCTCGAGGTGTACTATAAGAATATGCAATAAAAAAATGTTTCATTAAAAAAAGATCTATGTGACCTTGATCTTATCTTGGCGACGCCACCCAAGATCAACTCATAGCGCCAATAAATAGATCTTTAGAAACTCTACAACTTTTGTCTAAACACTTTTTCGATTGAACCTTATTCTGCGAAGATAAAAGGATAGTACGGATGGTCTGAAACATCCATATATGTGAATTAAAAAAAAATTTAGCGTCAAAAGTTATAAAAAGTACTGCGACGCTTGTTACTGACGGAAACATCACTGATGGAATGAAAAAACAATGTTAGCATTGCAAAGCTATAGTTTATTGATGATTGATAAATAAGCTTTATGAATCTTGTGTCTGTGAATTTAAGCCGCTTGTTTTCTGATAAAGATCTCGGAGATTAGTCTTTTACTCAAAGAAGATTTCTCTTCTAAAATGTCAATATTATCTCAGTTAAATTCATGATTAAATTTTAGTCGATATTTCATTATAGTTGAATAATTGAATGTATTCCATCATATATTTTGTGTTCGGAGATTCTGGTTTTGAGTTGTCTATTCATTTGTCCAATATCAGTGGCATCGCAATGTAAACATGAGATTTTATATATCACGTTGTTTTTTGAATTTTTTGATTGAGGATTGTGTGTGTGTGTGTGTGTGTGTGTGTGCGCGCGCGCGCGCGCGCGCGTGCTTTTATAAAATATATTTAATATTGCACATTTGACATTCGGATATTTTTTTAAGATTAACATAAAAAAATTATTGAAAAGAAGCATTTAATCAAGTTAAATTCTTATATTTTGTTTGCAGGGGAACTCTCTATTTTCTAACACTTTACAATCAATCTATACGCTATAAATAAAATAACGATAAAAATAACGAATCCAAGCTTCATCCAATTACATTCAATAAATGTAATTGCGTTACCAATTAACGTTACTCATAAGGAAATATAATTTATATTTATTTATTCGTTATTTATTCGTTATATTAAAAAAAATAATTGTAACGGTAACGATTTTACTAGTAACATATTATTTGCCAACCTTGGATAATAGTGAATACTTCATCATCAGATTCCTTTTTATCTGTACTCAAAATACGTTCAAATTATTAAGTGAGGTAAAAATGTATTATATTGTCTAAAAATGTATTATACTGTCACAAATCATTCGCTGCTAATTGCACATATTAGGCAAATTCTGATGCGTTGCAAAGAAATTATTACGTGAATAAGAATCTTAAAAAGTGAATGAACATTTATTGTAAAAGTACATTCGTTTTTTAAGATTTTTAGAAAAATCTATTCAAATATTTATCATTTATGTTTATTTACTTGTGTTACGGTATTTGAAAAACAGGAAAAAAACAGGAAAACTCGTGATAAACATTCATGAAGACAAAGTCGACGCAAGAGATCGTCAGGAAAATACGCCTATTCATGAAAAGAAACTTCTGATTTTATACATTCGGAATTTTTTATAAATTCTATGAATATCTCGATATATAGATAAATATATCTAGAATTTCTATGAATTCGAGCTATTTGGATTTCATAGAAAATTCATATAAATCTGAAGAAACCAGATTTTGTAAAAATATAGGGGGAAAATAGATTCTCACACATACAATTTGATTATTATATTATATTCAGATAGTCGCATCAAAATATTTCTTTTCATTAAACGTTTCCCAGTTTATTAACTATCTTAAATCATTTCACACACGTGTTTCATATTATCAAATTAGATTAATAAATTATCGTTTGCAACATCATTGATTTGAATAAAAAATAAAAAATTACACAAAATTACAAAATAGAGATTCATCTTTTCCTCTACAATGTAATTTTTGATATGAAATTAAATTTATTGTATACAATTTAATATATAACTTGAGTAGTCGAGATAAAATTCACAAGTTTTCTTGGCAATTGTTCTCGATGGTCATTTGAAAGAGAGATATATTTACAGACGCTGAAAAATACTTATTTATGTACGCATGACAAGAAGGAACAGCCAGCATTTTGGATTCTATTGTTGTGTGGCACTGCGTCGAGCACGGCCGGCCAAGTATGCTCGTATCCGCTAGCGTTAGTGCGGACGCGACTGCAGGCCGAGATTACACCTGATCGCTCGCCCAATACGATGATTGGTGTCTTCAAAGACATCCTCAACCGTGAAGGAATACGTGGTCTGTATCGCGGTCTCACGCCTAATTTTCTTAAGGTATGCAAATAAATTATATTGACTTTTAAGAATTTTTACAAAAAAATTTATAAAAATTTGTTTGATTTATTGTCAAACTTTATATAAATATTACAGCTTAGTTAAATTAATTATTTCTTAACTTATGTGAGGATATATAATAATAATAACAATGAATTAAAGATTAAAATTTTTATTGTAAATTCATATACAGTTTGATTGTTGCTAAATATAAAAATTTCTTCACAGGTTGCACCTGCCGTATCTATTAGCTATGTAGTGTATGAGCATTTCCGGCAGGCGTTGGGCGTCAATATGACGTGATGAACATGAACGCTAGGTGACTGATTAATTCAATTAACTAACTTATTCTCTCTTTCTCTTTCTCTCTTTTTTCTCTCTCACTTTACTCATGTTATAAGTATTCAACATGGCGAATATTCATTTGGCGGTAAAATACGTTTGTTCGGCTAAAGAAGAAAGAAAATGGCAGTGTTATTTATTGTTATCGCTAATAGGAAAAATTTCTTCGATTAATCGAGCGTTCTATCTCACAGTTTTTTAAATAATTTATTAAGATTTTAATATATTTTAATATATTTTTAATATTAATAAATTAGAAAAAATAGTACGAATCAAAATATTATAATTATCAATTTTCTAGGAATTGCTATTGTATATTATCGTTATTATAACGCAATGATGCTTTATTTCGGCGAGTAAATACAGTACAAAGAATGTCTTGCGTGTAAGAAAAGTATTATGTATAGTTTTTTTGAAACAATTACAAGCAAGTTTTGAGTGAACAGCTATCGAAGGAAGGAAAGCTAATTCTTGATTATTATTTAGTGTAAAAACGTATCAGTGGAAACGTTCAAGTCAGCATCAACATACAGTAAAGAATTTGCATATTATATAAATCATTATAATGATTTATTATTTATAATTATAATTTATCTTGTATAAAATCTTAAAAAAATAATTTTTTTTATTGTAACTTAATAAAAATATATAAGTAATCACATTACGTTTGTGTGATTATTAAAAGATTTTGTTTTTGCATATTACAAAATTATTTCAGAAATAAAAAATTATGGATTTAGATTCCGACTAGAACGTGCTAATAGAAATATGCTTTGTTATGATATGTAAAAGTGGTTTAATATCGACCTAAAGATTTCCATTTTAATTAAGAGGTTGGAGAATCGAGTTATACATTGACACTGTGATATGTATATGACTGTAAATTTTTTCGCGTGATTTATCAACACAACACTTTGTAAATTACAAGATTATTGCTCCATAAAAGTATGTAAAGTAACTTGATCCACTGAAACACAAAGTATTTTGTATGAAATAAATAATTTTTTATGTACTTTTATTAGAAAATAACATTTTTGTGAATTTTTGTGATCTTTTTATAAATGTAATTTCATATTTTTTAAATTTTAATAAATTCACATAATAAAATTATAACAAAAGTAATAATCAAAACTCAGCAAGAAAATACTAATTTCTTAGCGAATGGAATAAAACCTTATATTTGTAATATAAGTTTTTTATAATGTATTATATTCTTTATTTATATTCTTTTAATGATTTTATTCTATATAAAGTAAAGTTTTCTAAATTAAAGAAATAAAATTAAAATTCTTATTTTAATTAAAAAAAAAATTTTACGATAATGAAAACTAACTTCATACGTTTTTATTCTATATTTTTATTAAATTCAATTATATATTTTCCATAAATAGAAGAAAATTAAATGTTGAAGAAAAATAACTGGAAAAAGAAATACGACTATGCGCATGTACATGCATGTATGTACTATATAATAGCAGTCACACGACATTCTTATTTAGAGTTATCTTGCTTATTACTTATTAGTTTAGAGCTCTTTATTTATTTTTCTCCTACATACGTATAAAGAAATACATTTCAATATTTGTTATATAAATGTATATTATTTTTCCTGGAATTTTTTATTAAGTTTTTATTAAAAATAAAAAAAAGTTGTTCGGTGAATCAAGCTTTTAGCATAATTTGGCGATAATTACTATCTTGTTGTGAATCATGCGTCACTTGATTTTCATCTCTTGTTATGTATGTACTTCATATATACATAAATTTGATTTCATCGGTCGTTGCAATTTACTATCACATATTCCGGTTACTACGATTCATTCCCTTAGAGTTTTACAAATTTACAAACTATGTATATTATGTATTTACATGTATTATAAACATGTACAGTCAGACACACATTATTATACGACAAATATTAGGGAATAGTGATGACTCATACATGATAAATACATCAATCTTTGGAAATAACATGATAACGATAACGCTAAACTGTGAACGAAACTTTATTCTATTAAATGTCGTCTTATATTTTGAAATTCCTCAATTCCTTTATTCCTTTAATTCAAATTAATAAGTAATCCAGGATATAAAAGAATATTATAAAGATATAATACAAAAATTTTTGATAAACAATTTTTTTTTAAATTGAAATTTCTATTAGAAGTTAATTTTCTTAATAAGCTAATTTGATGAAGATTTTCTCAAATTTACTTTTTTCACTTTATTATTATTTTGGAAGATTATAATATTTATCGTGAATGAGTTATTGAATCGGACGTGATTGAAATTTTTTTATAGCAAAAGTGTAAATGTTAATTTATATATATATATGTGTCCATATGTGATATTAAAACACATTTTATATACACACATATATATGTATGTATGTAAAATTGAAAATAAATAATATTAAATAATAATATTATTCTAATATATAATAAAAAAATAACATATAAAACATGCGCGCATGCACGCACGCGACACACACACACACACACACACACACACACACACACACACACACACACAGTGTAACTAATAAGGGGACATAGAAACGAGTTCTCCACTAAATATAAAAAAAGTTCATATAAATAATGTTTGTTATATATCCGTAAATCCACTGCTACTGAGATATAACTGAAACTAATATTTATTAATGAAAAATGAAAAAGATAATTATTATTATGTAATATTATTTATTTTCAATTTTTAATTACAATAAAATGTCTTCCATTTATTCAATACATGCATGGATATTGATATATTGAACTGTCGTACTCTTTCAAAGATCCTAAGGCGAATGGTTTTCACAAGCAACGAAGATTATGTTGGAATAGCATATCTTCATTGTCGATTTGAATTTTAGAACTTATAAACTAAAGACTTTAAATGTTCACAGATAAAAATCTATGATACTTAATACGGAAAATTACACAAACGTCCGGATACATTTTCTTAATACATTTTCAGCTGTAGGTATCTTTATAACAGGTGTTTACAGTTATATATTTATGTGATTTTTCCATATTTGATATGGAAACTTCGAAATTTGATTTGTTTTACTTTGTATATGCAGAATATCTTTCAAAGACCGTAACAATTCTTAAAGATAGATTTCTGATATCATTTTGAGATGAAAATTCTAATATCAAAATATTGAGACTATAATAGTTTTTTGAATTATAAGCATTTAAAATTAATGAATCTCCTAAAGTTCGCATGTTAGGTATGATAACAAAGTGCTAAAGGCGAAAATTAGACTTCGTCGCTCTGTTTGTTTTTAATATCGATATAAAAATTATATAAGCGAAGATAAGATTATTATTGATATTTCTATAAACGCATTGTGGAACTTCTTTTTTTATAATAAAATTTTTTATTTTTTTTATGTGATATATAAAGTGCAAACTGTCAAATAACATTTCTTTGAGATCAATTTTACATTTTATACGTAAAATTATAGTTATTAAATAGTACATAGTTAGCAAAAATGATATATATCTATCTTATAATTATCTCAAAATAAGCAGCTACTATTGTTCATATTCAAATAGAATTTATTCAAGCTTATGTTAAATATTTTAACAAAATAATCCAGAAAACCTAGTATACATAAGGTCTGTTTTTTTGTAGTTGAATTAGTGTACATTTTTGGAACTTAAAGTGAGATAGACATAAATTATGATGTTTGTCGAAAGCGAGAAAAAGAGTTCTAGCGCAGTTTAAGAAGGAACAGAAAATAGACCAATAATTAATAAATGGTATGTATTTATAATTATTTGACAGAATAATAGCTACTTTTATACTACTTACTTTAATAGCTAGCTTTTGCTAATATGTAAGTAAAATTCATTCAAGTCTATGCTTAACATTTTGTTAAAATAATATGAAGGAATTAGAAATTTATAAATATTAGCAAATTATTAATTATAACAAAATCCAAAAAAATCAGGGCGAGTCAGCGTGGTAGTTAATACGCAATAATCTTAAATCTTTATTTCAAAAAATAGTATATTTCAGTTCACTTTGGAACCATCCTTAGCAATACTATTACAAAATATCAATCCCTTCATGTCCAAGAAAAAGCCATTAAATTAACAGATTTGTAATTCCAAGACAAGGAGTCGACATTGGAGCAAAATCAATTAAAATTTATTATCACTAAAAAGTATCAAGTTAAAAAACGAGTGTTGACCGCAACTCGAATGGTTTATTAATTATAATTCATGTTAATTTAATTTTTACTAATTAAAATTAAAATGTGTGCAATTTTAAAGTTATTAATTTTACACACACACACACACTCTCTCTCTCTCTCTCTCTCTCTCTCTCTCTCTCTCTCGTAAAAATACAACATCTTTATTTGACACGTCAAACTTTGACACCGAGAACATAGTGTAAGTGAACCATCCGATGAATGCGTAGTAGATTAAAAATGGGAAATGGTCATGGTTTTGAGCTTTTATGCGAGATTTGTAATATGGCTGCTTATTAAGTTGTCATATTTGGAATTTGAATACATTGAAATGTAAAATCATTGTGAAAATATTAGTGTGCATTAAAAACTGCAAAAACCGATTGTGGTAACAAAATAACGTTATACTGTTTTCTTAAAAATCGTGAATTACAGAGATAGTGGCTCGAAGAGTGTCAAAGAAGATTTAAATCTCAGCTGTGGTGTTTATGTTCGAAATATTTATAAATATAAAAATATATTAAGAATGTCATAATACAAGAAATATTAAATTTAATATATTATATATTAATATATTAGGTGTACAACTTTGCTTCCGCCTTTTTTTTCCGAAATTCGAGGCTTTATTATAAAAAACTGGTTATACATTTATGATTCAAAGTATTGTCCATCGCTGGCCATTACTTTCTCCCATCTTTCGGGTAGCGTATGAATCCCGCGTCGAAAAAACTGGTCATCTTTTGAGACTATCCACGAATCGATCCAATTTTTTACTTCTTCATAAGACCGGAAGTGCTGGTCAGCTAGGCCGTGTGCCATTGATCGAAACAAGTGATAGTCAGAGGGAGCAATGTCTGGAGAATACGGCGGGTAGGACTTTCCATTTCAACGTTTCCAAGTATGTCTTGACCACTTTCGTAACATGGGGTCGAGCATTGTCATGTTGCAAAATCACTTTATCGCCTCTCGTTGTATTGCAGCCGTTGGTCTTTCAATGCTCGACTCAAACGCATCAATTGCGTTCGATACCGATCGCCTGTGATTGTTTCAGTCGGTTTTAACAGTTCATAATACACTACGCCGAGCTGGTCCCACCAAATACAGAGCATGATCTTGGAGCCGTGAATATTCGGTTTGGCCATCGACGTGGAAGCATGGCCAGGAACTCCCCATGATTTTCTGCGCTTGGGATTATCGTAATGAACCCATTTTTCGTTCCCAGTCACAATGCGAGGCAGAAATCCCTTCCGGCTTTGCCTTTCAAGCAGCTGTTCACAAGCAAACAAACGCCGTTTAACATCTCTCGGCTTCAATTCGTACGACACCCAATTTTCTTGCTTTTGAATCATTCCCATGGCTTTGAGGCGTTTTGAAATGGCTTGTTGAGTTACTCCCAATGATCGTGCCAATTCTTCTTGATTTTGAGACGAGTCTTGCTCAAGTAATGCTTCCAATTCTGCATCTTCGAAAACCTTCTCTCTTCCACCGTTATGCCGATCTTCGACGTCAAAATCACCGTTCTTGAAGCGTTGAAACCACTCACGACACGTTCTTTCACTAATAACGGCCTCACCATTAAGTATTTGAGAGCATTCGATGAGCCTCAGGCACAGATTTCTTCATATTGAAGCAAAAAATTAAAACCTCCCGCAAATGACGAGAATTTGGCTCGTAAACTGACATTTTCAATCGAGAATAACTTTATGATGCAAACACAAATCGACTAATGTTTCTATGGGGTTATGTTGACAGATGCCCAAGTTTATTGTATGACGTCTATGATCTATTTATTTCGACCACCACTTACCGCTAAAGCCATCTATAGGAAAACGGCGGAAGCAAAGTTGTATACCTAATATATTAAAAACTTCGTTAAAACAACAGTATTATATGTATTTATAAAAAGAATATTTTTGTATAAATTGCGTTAGATTTTATATTATAAATATTCTTATTTTATAATTTAAATATTTTTGAAACATTTAAACAGCACGTTGCATAAATACTCAAGCTTTGATTGATCAGGCTTTCAATCCTCTACCATTATGCGCAATGGTTCACTTTTCTGTTTATACCAAAACCGAGAACAACGTTGCTGGAAAGGATCATCGTCCACTTCTGACAGGCGAGAACAGACTGAACAGACTTGTCCGTAGCACAATGCTTGCAACACTATTATTGACTGCATTTACATCTTCAATTGGGTTTAATAATCCAAGTTAGCCTATTACAGTTATTCCATTCTTTACAATAATAGCTATGATTCGTCAGTTTCATAACTACAGATGTTATTAAACTCAAGACTGCTATGTAAACATAGCAATTGTGATTCTAGTAATTATATTTTTAGTAGTTATATTTTATATTCGTTTGTAACATATATGTAATATATATGTAAATTTGTACGTTTATAATGTATAACTTTCCTCTTACATACGTGAATATATATTAAATTAATATTAATATATCCTTATTAATTAATATTATTTCTTATTATATTTTACATGTCATAAAGAAATATTTTTTGTTAAGGAGCGCATTTTTTTCTTTTACTTCGGACACCGAAATATTTTCTTCCGGTTCTGCGTCATGATGATATTCTATGATATCATTACAATTTAATTATGACTTTATATTCTATCTTATATTCTGATTCAAAACGTGTACAACACTTCTTGAGTCAGTGTTGTATTACTGTTTTGAATTCTCTCTCTTCTTATAGTTCTTATTCTTCTGACCTTGCTGTATCAGATTTCTTTTTGCTCCCTAAACTGAAAGGGATTCGATGTACATACATTTCAAACATTCAGAAGTATTCAGAACCAACTGTGACAACAAGACTTAAAGCGATATTCAAAGATGACTTTTTACAGTTTTCATCAACTGTACGAACGTAATCGGACGTGTATTGTCTCTTCAGGGAAGATTATTTTGAAGGATAATAAAGGTCATTTATATACTAATTAAGTAGTGTTCATTTCCTCATAACATTTACCAAACTTTATTATTGCATCACGTATATTCAGTATAACGGTCTACACGTTTTTTTGGACAGCTCCAAAAGGAAAGGTGAATATTCATCTGTTTCATATTAGTCTGTAACATATTAACGATAAAAAAATTAAAAAGATTTTTTTAAATAAAAAATCAAGAGAATCTTAAATTTTTAAATAGCAACATATAATTTTTTTTCATAATATTGTAAGAGCCTTCAAGATAAATTTAATGCACTATCAAAAATCATTTTTAATTGCTACGCACAATAATTTATTAAAAAGAGCAGAATTTTGTGTTGCAGAAGGAAACAAGCAATTTGCTTACATAAGTTAGAAATTAATAAAATTGATTGTTACTTAATTTTAGAAATTAATAAAATTTATTCATATGAGTTGCAAAATCTCTTTATTATTATATATAAATATTTATGATGCAATATTATAAGTTTATGTAAATAAAATCAATAAAATATCAACAAAGATGACATTCTCGATAATGCGTTGAATTCGTCTTAAAGACTCCTGCAATATTATGGAAAAAAATTGTGTGATATTTAAAAAATTCAAAACGTTGATTCTTTTTATTAAAAAACTGTTTTATGTATACAATTTTTTATCGCATATTGCAATCTGCATGAAACAGATGAATATTTAATATGAATTATCTTTTAATTTTTTCTTTTAACTATCAAAGTCTAAAAAATTGTGCAGATTGTTGAACATCCTGTGTGCGTGCATGCGCGTGCGCGCACGTAGTGTGTGTATATATATTAGGTGTACAACTTTGCTTCCGCCGTTTTCCTATAAACGCTTTAGCGGTAAGTGGTGGTCGAAATAAATAGATCATAGACGTCATACAATAAACTTGGGCATCTGTCAACATAACATAATAGAAACATTAGTCGATTTGTGTCAGCATCATAAAGTTATTCTCGATTGAAAATGTCAGTTTACGAGCCAAATTCTCGTCATTTGCGGGAGGTTTTAATTTTTTGCTTCAATATGAAGAAATCTGCGGCTGAGACTCATCGAATGCTCTCAAATACTTATTAGTGAAAGAACGTGTCGTGAGTGGTTTCAACGCTTCAAGAACGGTAATTTTGACGTCGAAGACCGGCATAGCGATGGAAGAGAGAAGATTTTCGAAGATGCAGAATTGGAGGCATTACTTGAGCAAGACTCATGTCAAAATCAAGAAGAATTGGCACGATCATTAGGAGACTCTCAACAAGCCATTTCAAAACGCCTCAAAGCATGGGAATGATTCAGAAGCAAGGAAATTGGGTGCCGTACGAATTGAAGCCGAGAGATGTTGAACGGCGTTTGTTTGCTTGTGAACAGCTGCTTGAAAAGCAAAGACGAAGGGATTTCTGCATCGCATTGTGACTGGGGACGAAAAATGGGTTCATTACGATAATCCCAAGCGCAGAAAATCATGGGGAGTTCCCGGCCATGCTTCCACGTCGACGGCCAAACCGAATATTCACGGCTCCAAGGTCATTTGGTGAGACCAGCTCGGCGTAGTGTATTATGAACTATTAAAACCAACTGAAACAATCACAGGCGATCGGTATCGAACGCAATTGATGCGTTTGAGCCGAGCATTGAAAGATAAACGGCCGCAATACAACGAGAGACACGATAAAATGATTTTGCATGACAATGCTCGACTCCATGTTGCCGAAAGTGGTCAAGACTTGGAAATGGGAAGTCCTACTCCACCTGCCGTATTCTCCAGACGTTGCTTCCTCTGACTATCACTTGTTTCGATCAATGGCACACGGCCTGGCTGACCAGCACTTCCGGTCTTATGAAGAAGTAAAAAATTGGATCGATTCGTGGATAGCCAAAAGATGACCAGTTTTTTCGACGCGGGATTCGTACGCTCCTCGAAAGATGAGAGGAAGTAGTGGCCAGCGATGGACAATACTTTGAATCATAAATGTATAAC